TGTGTGTGTATATATATACAGCCCTTTTGATCTGTAAGGCTGCCAGAGCCTCTGCCATATTAAAATGAGCAGTCTGTACCGGGTGTAAATGTGTGCCACAACACCAAGCACAAGGCAGAGGAGGCACAAACCCAGCAGCACCCAGCAGCAGAGGACTGCATTTACACCACTGGGGCAAAGCGGAGCAGTTCCACTGGGTGCGGGGTGGGGGTACTCCAGTCCCTGCAGGGCGTGCCTGTGGGGGGCTCTGCCTCTGTGCCGAGGATGAAAGGCTAAAGAAAAATAAAACCACGAACAAGAGCAGCCGTGACTGGAGGTCTGATTTCCTTGCTCTGCGTCGGTGCCGGACTGCTGAGGCACAGCCCTTCCATCTGTCTGCTGGGCTCACCGAAGGCGGCTGACAAGTCGCGTGCTCATTAATGGATTGTGTTTTTACAGCACCTTCGATGCCCAGTGGATATCTCACCCTTGTCCTCCCCCTGGGGGGGCACACAGTACAGGTCAGGGGCAGGGGTGAGATACAGGAAGGGGGGCAGCAGACTGACCTGGTGGGACTGATCCAGGACACTGGGGTCAGCACACCCCTCCTCTCACGAACAGTGCCCTGGGGTCTTTACTGACCGCGGAGTCAGGGCCTTGGCTGAAGGGAGAGCAGGGAGGACTGTAGGAACCCCGAGTGGGACTGACCCAGGACAGCTGGGGTCAGCACAGCCCTACTCCCTGCTGCTGCTGGGATCCCTACAGACCAGATCCACTACTGGTTCCCCTGGAAACCAACAATTTCTCACAACCAGTCCACCTGCAGCCCAGGCCGAGCTGGGGGAAGCACTTGGACTCCATGCAGAACATGCAGACTCCACACACACCAGCATGCCCCCACCCTCCCCCCCGCCAGTTACAAAACCAGCAAAAGAAACCTTGTGGACGAACGTCACTTCTTCTTCCAAAAAAGTAATTATTGCAGTGACAGGTTACTTAAAACTAACTTCCCCTTCGCGACACTGAGACGTTTCGTCACAGCCGCGTCCTGGGGCGCCCCGTCTGTCCCTGCTGGAGAATTCCTGTTCATTTTCATCTGCTAGCGACCTCGGCGTTACGGTGTGATACACGAGAACGCTGTAAAACCGGACCAGTTGCATGGATCCCTATCGCTGCTCGCCTGGATCGATTAAGATAACAGGCAAATTGAAATCATCCGAGCGACACACGCAGGCAGTGTTACTGGCAGGGGGAAGCGGAGACGTTTTGCAACACGTTGCCAAACGCAGAGAAACAGAAATCCCAGGATTGCGTCTCTCCCCCCCCCCTACACCCCGAGAAAATAGAAAAAAACCCAGAGGAGAACCGCTCTGAGCCGGCCGAGGGCGCTGGGTCCGAAAGGGCCGCCGCGTCCAGCGGATCTCACCCAACCGCGCGCCAGACGCGAGAAAGCCCAGCGTCAGCCGGCCCCGCGCGCTGGTCTGCAAGCGGCGAGGGGCGTGCCCGGTCACGTGCCGGGGGGTCACATGACCGCGCGGAAGCGGCCATCCGTGCTGTCGCTGCTGCGCTGGAGCCAGAGGGCGGACTGTCTTCATGGGACCGTGAATATACGCGTGAAGATTAAGCCAGAAAGGGACCCAGAGAGCCACAGTTCCTGTTTTTTTATTTATTTATGACAGAGAAGTCGTTTTTTTCCTTCAAGTCGTCTTTATTTTAACACAGTAATTGATGTATTTTAAGAAACGGGGATGGCTTCTGCGGGTTGTAAAAACTGCAACCCCCGCCGCGGCTCAGGTTAGTGCCCTGATGGGTTCCAGCTCTAATTGTGCTCTAATTCGCACCCCGTTGCTATGGTTTCCCCCGGCGGCACCTCGCGCTGTCTCGCACGGATTGCTGTGTCAGGAGTTTCCGTGCGCACGAGTTCGCCGCCTGCCGCCGGCGTCTCCGGACCGTCCGGATCGCAGAACCTCGGCTCGTGCGAGCTGGGTCTGGCTTCATGCAGCGCGAGATCGCCTTACTCGACTCGCCTTACTTCTCCCGCGAGAGCGTGTCGCTATTGTTATGCAAGGTTTCTGTAAAAAAAAAAGATCCGTTTACTGTCCTTTTACCCTGATCTCACTGGGCTTTACTGCACTGGACTGTGCTTTTACCCTGATCTCTGCAGGGTTTACTGCACTGGACTGTGCTTTTACCCTGATCTCACTGGGCTTTATTGCTCTTTACTGTCCTTTTACCCTGATCTCACTGGGCTTTACTGCACTGGACTGTCCTTTTACCCTGATCTCACTGGGCTTTATTGCTCTTTACTGTCCTTTTACCCTGATCTCACTGG